TCAAGATCATTAGGTAAGCAGGGCTTCCTAATTTAGACATGGTGTCCCCCAAAAGCTCAGGGCTTCCTGCCACGTATGGCATGCAGCAACTTCTGTGTCTTTCTGGATTTGCCTTTGTTACTAGATTTGGGCTTAATGGTTTGCCCTGCATCATCAGTTCTCTGATAAGCCTAAGAAAAATAATTGGCTTCTAGCTTGTCCAGCATTTTATTATGAGCCTAAGAGTGATGACTTCTAAGCTCATTATATGTCTTAGTTGAAACTGGAATTTCCTTTAATCCTGAGATTTGAAAGAAAAACTTCAGAATTATTTTTAGATAAATTTTAAACCCCAAATGACAAAGTACTCCTATAAGGAAGGGGAGAGCTTTCCTTTGGAATTACAATGATTTTACAGACATTCTTAAAATAAGAGAACAAGTGAGATTTTAATTTTTTCCTAAAGGGTATATATAGATATCTGATTATATCTGTTCTTTTGTTTTCTTCTAACAAAGGTTAAGAAAAAAGGTAAGGAGAAGTGATAAAAATCATATAAAATAGCCCATCCTCTATATAAAAGGAGTAATTTGGGAAAAGAAATAGCAGGAATTAAGAAGCAGAAAGAAAATCTACACGTGGCAGAGAGCTGCTGGAGCTCAGCTCCAGGATTATATCCCAGAGATTTACTTCACCTTCCCTGTTGTGTCAGGAAAGGTTCTGAGACTCCTTCTACCTACAATAGTCTTGTTTCTGTAATTGGTTACCTGTGCCTGGTCACTTGTTCTTGCAGCAGTTATCCCCTATAAAGTCTCAAGGATGTGTTCCTTGCTTCAGGGTCAGAAGCTCAGAATGGAGAGCTCCCCTGGGGAGATGTGCAGGACTGGAGCAGCCATGTAACCCCTGGGGGCTGCAGAGAGAGGAGACATGAGTGAGGGTGGAGCTATGCCAGGGCTGCCATGTGATGCTGACAGTAGGATCATTTGGTGGTTTTCCTTGTCCCAGAGCGGTAGGATTAGCATCTTGGATGGAAAAACAGGAAGCTGCCTTCTGAAAGAGCATAGGCATTGTCATGGTTTAGACATGGTGTCCCCCCAAAGCTCACATGTGAGACAATGCAAGAAGGTTTGGAGGAGTAATGATGGATTATAGCCTTAACCTAATCAGTGAACTGATCTCCGATTGGATTAACTGGATGGTG